CACTAGGATTAAAGGTGTGAGTGCTGCCCACCCTAAGTAGCCTGGATAAGATAAAAGGGGTGGAAAGAGCTGAAGCCAGCCAATTACGGGCCGAAACCTCTACAAACTGCTTACCAACTAGTTTCCAGCTTACCAATGATATTGATATATCATTTGATAAACAATTGTGTAATATCTAATCCAATATTTTAAAGCATTAGAAGGTATTTCTCTAGAGCATGATTGCAAATAAAACAATTTGAAAATCTAAGCCAAAGCTCAGACATAATATTTGTATTCCATGACATCATGATTACCCAGACTAATCATAACTGTCAAAATAATTCACAAACTTTTCTTTAATATATATCAGAACAAGTTCTTAGTCAACACACAAAATCTCATTACTTTAAAAATCACACCATATTGACCAAAACCAGCAATTTCCAGGATTTTCATCTACTTTAACCACCAGACCCAATAAATGGAACCTCAGTTACTTCCAAAAACCAAAGTTGCCCTAGAGAGAGTCCCTGTCATTATGAAAAAGGAAAGTCACTTGAGACCTTGATAAAAGACACTGAACTTTCCCCAGAAAAAAACATCAGCAAACAAAAATTTGACCAATGATTTTTATCCCTGGACTCTAAGTAAGGAACTTCTGATCTTAGAGAGACAAAAATTAACCATTTAGAGAATCCAAAGAAAAGAAAATTTTAAAAGAAGTTTTTAGAACCAACTACTCTGAAGAAAATAAATGTATGATGGGAAAAGTACTGGACATGGAATGTTAAAAGGCGCCCTCAAGATCTGGATTTCAGGTTGAGCCTGTAGCTCAGTGGTAGCATGTGTGAGGCCCTGGATTCAATCTGCAGAACTGGAAGAAAAAAAAAAAGACTCTGGCTGTGATACTAACCAGTCTTGGGTAAAGAAACCATTTTCCTCAGTGTAAATTTCTGCACTTACAAAATGAAAGGAAAAAGGGACTGCACTACATCAACAGTTCCCAGAGCCTGTGCACTGGATAAGCAGCACCAACATCAGATAGGAAGTTCTTAAAAGTGCAGTTTCTCAAGCCAGCCCACAACCTCCAGAACTCCAACTCCAAGGATCGGGCCAGAATCAGTGTTTTCATAAGCCTCCCGGGAATTCTGATGCAGTGCTCAAGGTTGGAAACCACTAAAATGGATAAACTTCCAGCTCTCAAATGCTACAATTTAACTGGAAAGTACAAACTTTGATAAAACACAAAACAAAAACCAATACTAGTTATGTTCTGTTAAAAAAAAAAAATTAGTTTCTAAGGGATAAAAACCTCTTATTGTTCCCTATATCCTGCACAATAGTCACACAGAATTTTTTATAAACATATCAAAAGCTGTACCATGTAGGCCAACTTTGGCTTAAAATAATTACTGGGCGCAGAGACAGATGGGACACCAAATACTTGCTTCAATTTAACATCTGCTTCCATTCCTCCTCCCAGCTACCCCAATTATTCAATGGCTTTAGTAATAAAATACGAACATTTTTATCTAAAAGCAGTACATATCTTACTTGCAATGAACATGTATTCAAAACACCATCAGGACTTTCAGGACTTACCAAGCAATAATATCATTGTTTTATGTTAGTATCAGCAAAATATAGAATTATGTTGAAATTAATAATGATTTTGACATCAAATAAACCAAATTGACATTAAAGAATTATCTTAGAGGTATGATCCTTAGAAGAACTATTTTGGAAGTATGATGGTATTAAATATAAAATACGAGTATCCTTATCTTTTAAAAATTGCATACTGAAATATTTAAAAATAAAATTCTGTCACCGAGGTTTAGCTTCGCTATCATAGGGTGAGGTGAGGGGGTGGAGAGATGAAGGTAACAGAAGCAAGAGTGGTGTGGAAAAGAGCCGAAGTAGATGCGGGGGTGTGAATTCATTTTATTGTTCTCCCTACTTCAATTTTCAATATTACCACGTTGAAAACACATAAATCCAGTTACCTGGTATTTCAATAAGAAACACAAATCTATAAAATGTCCAACAGGATCCTTGTCACCAATAATGTTAAACACATTATTTACTCATTATGAAAGAATGTCACATTCTACCTAAATTACTATCAACCTATTACTAAGAAATATGGATAATATAGTATAACTATCCCACCTACTATGAGATCTAAACTGATGGTGAGAGGGTGGAAGACTGGCAGACCCAGGCAGTGATGTGGTTCTCACACTGCAAGTATTAATAAAGAAACAACCTGAGGGAGGCTTCTGAAATTCATGCTTCTATTTATCTGTAAGCACAGTTTCATAAACTAAAGCCTTTAAAAATATATGTATTCTCCTCTTTGCTGTAGGTGTGATCATTTACAAGTGTTGTTACATCAGAGGATGAACACAGAGAAAGCTGCATGGCAGTACTCTTTACAATAACAACTGAGAAACTGTGAGGCCTGAGGTGCAGCTCAATGTAGATCTTGTGCTCAGCACCCACTAGGCCGTGTTTCCATCCCTAGCACCCCAACAAACACACACACACCTGAGAAAATGCAACAAACTTCCCACATTATTCAAATAGTAAATCTTTTTTACAGTCAAATGGAATGATCAGTACTGGAGAAATTCCTCCATTCAATCACCAAGTTCCTAACGGCGGCAGTGGGTTTAACGAAGCAGAAAAGGAAGTGCAGCTTGCCTTCCCTTCCACACCACCTGTACCAGCTACCTGCGGGAAGACACTGATTCCTCTTCTCTAGTAAAGTAACGCTAATGGCCACGACACAAACCATCAAACCTCTAGAGCAGTACTATCCAACAGAACTCTCTGGGATAATGGAAATGTTTTTCATCCTGTGCTTTCCAAACACAGACAGTGTCCTCTAGCCATCCATGTGTAGCTACTCAGCATTTGACGCACTGCTAATGGACTAAGGAACGAAGTTTTAAGTTTTATTAATTTTTAATTGATTTCAATAGCTACATGTGGCTAGTGGCTGCTATAAGGACAGTACAACTCCAGAAAACAAAAGAAACACATTCCACACACATTTCACTTGATCTCTAACTCACATTTATTAAAAATTGAAGATACAGAAAAACATGAGTAAGACTGGCTTCATCAAACAAATTGAATTAACTTACCTTTGACTATTAAATGAAATTATTTAATACCACAAAAGGAATTTTGAGGAAAAGATCTATACCAAGCTCTAAAATGAAAAATCAAAAGCAGCTCAATCTTTCTCAAAGGGGAGAACAACCACAGACCTCCCTCTAGTGGCGAGAGACAAAGTTGCTGCTGAAAAGCAGAACTGATCCTGTATCCATACATTAAACTGCCAGATATTTCTTTCATAAAACCATAATTTAAAAAGATTCCAGAGCAATCTTAAGAAATCTTAAGGAAATCAATTTTTTTGTCAACAAATATAATACCTAGTGTTCACTTATTATGACTGCAAATCTCTTGAAATCTGATCTCTTCAAAAAAAAATATTTTGCCAATGACATGGGAATTGAGGTTCTCAAACACAACAAGACAAGACAAAACAAAACAAAACAAAACAAGACACAAAAGTTTATGGAGCCCTAACCAAACTGAGCAAAAGAAAAGAGGTTAATTCTGCTCTGCTGGTAAACGGTCAAGGAGGAAGCACGGAAGGCGCTGATTAAGAAGCGTAAAGAAATAAGCAGCAGTGGGGTTTGTGGAGACTTAAGGTACATCAAAAGAACAATAAAATGGTATTATTATACGAGTTCTTAATAACTAAAATGACACTTCTCATTCTGATATTCAGTTCAAAACACAGCTCTGTCACATAGCCAGTTTTAATTACAACCATACAGACATATTTAGATTAAACTACTACTTTCAAGTACAAGAAAGAACTCAAAATACAAAGAACTTGTGTTATAACTATAGTTATTCCCTCACCAATTCAGGAAAAACAGGCTTTATATACACTGTAGTAAGTACAGAATGTACAGAAGACAGTCATATATACAAAAGTGCATTAATACAGTTATACATCTAGTAGGAATACAGGGAAAATCCTGATTAATGATCTGATACATGATAGTATTTAAGACTACTTGAAGATTCTCCAAACCACTTAACTTCCTACTTGCTTTGGTTATGATATTGATGTTACATAACTAATCTTTGAAACTAAAAAACACAGACAAGAAAACCTCCCATGATTTGAAAGTTTTAACCATCTTTGAAATGTTTTACATACACTTGTGTTTGTTAGTATCTCTTGACAGCAGTCCTATTAGATTTCCAACACAACGATTTAGAATGGATAGTACTTATATCTAAATTTAAAAATTACACAGGAAATTAAATTCACCTACTACATGAACAGACATTATTTGCTCCTTTCTTAAAAGCCTCAGCTAGATAACCTAACTCCAAAGTCTCAATTTGGATCCAATAGTTCGGATACCGTAAAAAGAGTAAAAGCAGCTCTACAAAATGAGTCATGGCTATGGGCTACTGTTCCTTGAAACAATTCAGAATAGTAGGCGTTAACTTGTCATTTATAGGTTAATTTTATAACTAACTTGACGTATTCAAAATGTATATGCATAAGTAAGCAATTCCTCCTTTTGTCATCCCTTTCTCTCACCACAAGAAGAACACACATTTCCACAGGCTCCCCTGACCACAAAGCTCTAACAGAACAAACCTGACAATAAAGAAAAAGTATTACACACTGAATTCAGTGAAGACCAAACCAATGTTTCTGAGTCTGGTATGAACATTAAATTAAAATGTAATTTAAATGTACTTTAAAAAGAGAGGGAGATGAAAACAAATACAGTAATTTTAATATTTAAAAATGAAAATAAAATTTTAGTGAGTCAAATCTTCAGCTATACCATGCAACTTCCTTACTCTTAACAGCCAGTTAGAAGGTCCTTCTATGCTTTTTAAAAGAAGTAAATTGGGGCTGGGGATTTAGCTCAGCGGCAAAGCGCCTGCCTGGCAAGCACAAGGTCGTGAGTTCGGTTCCCGGTACCGGAGAAAAACCAAAAAAAAAAAAAAAACAAAATAAAAGAAGTAAATTATTTTGCAAAGAAGTAGGACAAAGATTGTAAGGAATATTTTCCAGATACTATGCTAACAGAGATGCCTATCTCAAAATATCACTCAGCTGGTTCTTACCCTCTGTTACCACTATCTTCACTTTTAAGATAAAATTTATCTTAGCTTTTTTACTTAGAACTAATCCAAAGTTACCACAGTACATGTGTATACAAATGCTTCCAAACAGTCCTCCTCGGGATTAATTTTACTTCCCATTAGACATGTTGAATGTCAGTGCACTCAACATCAACACTACTATGGAATGCAACTGGAAATTTTACTATCAAATATACCAAGCTATAAACTGACTTTCAGTAGCCCCCATCAACTCCAAACAAGCATCTTCTTGATGACGGAAGAGCTAAAAGATTATTAAAGGAATGGTATGCAGATGAAATGCGGGATCTGAAAGTTTTTGTTTTGATCTATACTCTATTACTCTTAATTTAATGGTTTTATTTACTGATATCGAAACACCATGGCCATTCTACCAATGAAATAACATTCTGAATGTGTTTGAATTTTGAAAAGCCTAATATTCACGAAAACGTAGAGTTCACTACTCTTAAGGCACATGAGGCTACAGAGAGTAAACCATGAACAAAGAGTCTACCAGAAAACACAAAACAAACCAAACTGCTATACTGTTTATGTACTAACATTTTTGGCTTAAATACAAAGATATATGATAAATTTTATAATTTTTAAAGCTCATCAGAATGTAGATACCTTTATATAATAATTGCTTGTAATTTATCCTTTATGAAGGGATTTAGCACTTTTAAAAGCTAAACAAAATGAGGTGTCCACCCAATCTATAAAGAGTCACTGTTTTATATGTCCATTTCTGGGTTTAATTTAGCAATGTCTAATTTACCCAAGGGACAAATGAACTGGACTAAATAACTGCTATTTAACAAGTTTCATTTCAAACGAAGTGTTACTTTACTGTAAGTTCTTGTTGAGATCAAACAAACTGGCCCTTTATATACTCCAATATACATTATAGTACACTGCCTTGCTTTAATCAGTTGCAAAACTGTAGAAAAATACATGCCACTTTGTTTAACTCAAGGTTTATACTTTTAAAAGCTGGTAGGGGCTGACATACTATTAAAAGACCTCTAATAACAGTTTTATTTCTAGATAAAACTATGGGGACTTTATCATGACTTCAGTTGAGGTTTATTTTTAAAGAGGAGACTTATCTGTTCCAATGTTAATTCTATACAATGGGAATCAACACAGGACAAATAATTCTTGCCTTTTTATTAATTGGTTAATTTTGGATTTATATCGAAAGAGAAAGATATTGAGCTAGACCTGTTTGAAATGGAACTCAGAGATATCAGACTGAATAAACTAGTACTTAGTCCAAAAATGATCCCTTAAACTTGAATTATCCACATGAGGCATTAATACACATAAATATCACAGCAGAAGACAAAAGATGCTTTTGTTTATGTATTTCTGTGCTAAATTCTTTATTGGAGGGATAAAGACTTTTAAATCTCTCTCTTATATCATAAGGAAGCCCAAGTTGTTTCATTTTATTTTTTAACCAAAAGAATTTTTTTCAATCTCCTTCAAATCAATTTTATAGGCTGGTTCTAATCTATAGAACTTTAAAAATGGTGCACCCAAATTTACCCAAAATCTCATGACGCACTTTTACGAGCAACAGAACCTTTACCAATTTCAAAATCCGCTTTGTGGCACTTTGGTAAACTTGTTCATAATGACTTAAAGCTAAGGTAATGAGACTAGGTGATTGTTGGGAGAATGGAGGAATTGGTTTTAAAGTACAGTACATCATGACCCTGTTTAGGATTTCCTTTTACTGATCACTGTCAAACAAATACTTTCTCAATATGTGAAAGATTAAAATGCTATGCTGCAGTGTCCAAATGTGGCCTGTTTCACTTGAAGAACAGGTAAAGAGAGGAGGCGATCATTCTGTGGAATTTTGCTTTTGCTAAAAGCAGACAGAGAATTCAGATGTATCGTTACTTCTCTCCCTTTGTTCTTGCTATACTCAAAAATGAAAACAAGGTTGACTCTTTCTGCCTTCCTCTGAGTATTCTTGGGTCTATCTCAAACTCTTCGTCAGCCCTCTAAGCTGGCCAGGAACAGCAAAGAGGGGATAGAAAGATAGTCAAAAACACTACTCCAGCTGAAAAACATAAACCCATACACTTTTATTTTAGTAAAATTTGAAATTCTGGCTTTAAACCTTCAAGAAACCTAAATGAAATCAAACTTTCCAAATACCTAATTGTAAGCAAAGTTTAAACCTTTCTGTCAAGTGTTTAAATTGTTACTGTTTTTAAAAAGCTAATGTTAAAAAAACAAGAAATCAATTAACGTCTGGATTCTAGAATTTAAAAAAATGTCTGGATTCTAGAGTTTAAAAAAAATACTGATTACAACTCTTCCTGTAGAACCACGATTACCTCCTAAACTTTACCGCACAATAAAAAGAAAATTATGAATGTCATAAAGCAGCTTGATTGTCAGTAGTATCAATTCACATCTTCTTTAACTCATGTGAATGTCTAGACATATGGTAGAAGGAACTACTATTTCTAAATTAACAAACTGTGAAATCATTGAAAGAAATTCCACAATTTCACATTTAAGTTCAGAGTTTCCTTAATAACTCATAAGCTAAGATCTTTTGTATCTCTTACCGCTCTGTATACTTAGAGCAATTTACACAGAAGTTTAGCAGAATGCTAAGGGGTCTCGTCGGTTAATTTTGAACATTAACCTCTTTATATCTATCCCAAAACTTGTTACACCAAATATTTAAAAATTAAAGCTGTGATGGATAGAAAATGATCTAAAAAAGAATGAGGTACGGAGGAAGACAGGGAGGGAGGGAGGGAGGTAGAGGGAGAGAAGAGGGAGAGAGGGAAAGATTGAAATTTTCTATCTTTGAGACAATTTATAGCCTAAATTTTCAGAAAGCAATGGAAAAGTAGAATTGATTGCTTTGCCTAAATGATTTCTCTACTTGAATACTAATCAACATAGCCTGAAGTCTAAAATTTAACTATCAGTAATGTTATTTTCTCAGTAGCTATCACTTAAAAGAAGAATTCATTTTACATAAAACAAAAACAAATTGATATGGAAAAAGATTACGGCCTATTCTTATACCTTTGAATTAATAATGAATGAAAACAGAACTAAACCTCATGAAGGCACTATTGTAAACAGCAATCCATACCTTGCACACATATAACCCTCATCTCTGCCTCAAAACAGATTTCTACCAGTGAGAATTATACTATGGCCCTTTAGAAAAAGTAAACTAAGAAACTGTAACATTAAGAAAAGAACTGAATTATGATCTCTACACACACACACTCTGACATAATAAACTACATGTCAGCAGTACCTTGAATATCTCCTAAACTGTGGAAGTACTAGTTTTTTTAAAAAGCCCACTTAATCACCATAAAGTTTCAACAGCCAAAACATTAAACCAGTAGTTCTTAAGCCAGAATGTGCATCAGAATAACCTGGCACTGGTTAACATAAAAATGCTGGGTTCCTCCCCTGGTGGTTCTGATTCACTAGGTCTGGAACGGGTCCCACTAGTACACACTCCTAACAATTTCTCATGAGATATTGCAGTTGCAGGTCCTGGAACCGCCCTCTGAGGACCACTGGCCTAAATAATTAATGGTACACCACACAACCCTAACCAAAATTTTGGTCAAGATGCATGTAAACCAACAAGGATACAATAATGCTTAGAAAGAGTGGTGATAAATTCATCCTTGTTACATCAAAACATCAACATCAGCTTCATGGTCTTCCTCAGTCACTTTCAAGGACAGCACCTCTTCATTGAGGAAGAGCCCGCTAAGCCTCTCCTTCCGGGCCTGCCTCTGCTCCTTCAGCTGCCTCTTGCGGAAGGCTTTCTGCTGTAATTTCCGCTGCTTGGATCGCTTCTGTCAAAGTAAAAAAATTCTAGATCAGTAAAGTTTATTCTTGGTATATCCACACCAAAGTGCTTTTGGATCAAATTCTGCATTCTGTAACTTTTAAAAGCTGTTCAAACTCCTCTACAGTAGGAGTCTCACAACAATAAGTGAGTCATTGGCTTTGATTTGAAAATGATTCGTTAAGATTATATTTTTATGATATTTGACCAGTGATTCTTCTGCCCAAGAGGTGATACTTGATCATTTTACATAGCTATGGACAGCTGATCCCTTTGAAGTCTTATTTTTAAACCAAATTAAGGTACATTGATGTCAATGTGTAGTGAAAATAAATTTAAGGCGACAATATGAAATACAAAATGTAGGCGATACTGCCCAAATCTCCAATGCTTATATTAGTACAAACAGTGCTAACAATTTTTAAATGACTGGAAAAAAGGCATGCCTTTGTCATTAGAATCTTAGTAGATTCTTCAATCCTCATCACTGGTGAACTGAGGAATGACCACAAACCCAGAGAAAAACCTTGGTAACCAACAAGGCTGGCTATGTTTCTCCTCCTTCACTAAGACCCAGGGAAGAAATCACTGTGTATCTTCAAGTTACTACTGCATTCCTAAAGAGATCCTCTTTTTCTCTTTAAACTGGCTCCAAACTGTGCCGATGTAAGAAACAGAAGTGCTTTACTAAGCCACAGGATTCTTCTATTACACTTATAACTTATTTTATTAAAAAAAAGTACCTTACGGTATTATACTGTCAACTGTGATCAAAGTAGACAGAAATTACAGAATGCATTATTACATTCTAAATTAGCTCAGAAGCAGCATTCAAGACTAAAACATCCTGAAAACACATACAAAAGACACACAACGTTTTGTAGGAACTAATAGCAACATCGGCAATATAGTGAGATTTGCTTAACAGTGAGCTGCAGTCAGTACTGCTATCTTGAGAATTACACATTAAAATAGACAAAGTCAGACAAAATTGAATGCAATATTGTTATGGGTCAAGAGTACTTCAAAGCTCTCAGCCTAGAGTACTCTGTTCATCAGCACAGTATCTTCCTTGTGCAATTAAACTCCCAACCCACAGGAATCTAAATAGCAGGACAATTTTTATTCTTCAAGAATTCAAATGAAAGACTACAAATATCAATACTGAAAGGTAAAGCTTCGATTAGACATTTTACTTTTGAATCCCGAATCCTCTCCGCTGCACTTGTAGACAGGTTGCTGTCACTGTGTGCTCGACTCATGTTGGCACTGGAGTTTGAAGCAGAGTTGCCAACACTGGACCCACTGCTGCTTGCAGAACTGACCATGCTGGCACTGCTGCTGCTGGCACTGGCACTGGCACCGCTCACTCCGCTGGTGCTCGCACAACTAAAGTTGCTCCTCTTCCAGGTCTCTCTTGCAGGCCGCTGGCGAGGGCTATGCTCCTTAATATAGTTTCTGACCTTGGGACACAGGGCAAAAAACTAGTTACTGTTGTACTTTGATGTTTTAGCTTTAAGATGCTGGAAAGAAAAAAATTGTATTGTCCTTAATTCGAAAGATTTTGTCAGAAGTGAAGCAGATGTATAAATAAGGTACAATGGAAAGGCAAAAGAAATCTCAATTTAGAAACAAGCATCAAAGGACCTTCAGAATTTAGACTGCAAGAAAAGAACATGTGGAAATAGAAACAAAATAAAACAGTTGAAATTAAGTATTTGTTAGAAGCCTCTACTTAAAATGATTTAAGTCAATTAATGATTATATCTATACTTGGATTTTTTTCCTAAATTTTAGTTAGAAGTCGGTGGTACCTGTCTTCAAATGCAAAGCATCAACATACCACATTAATGAAAAAGGAGCTGGCTGGTAGAAAACTGTAGTCTATGTGTGGTGAGAAAAATACTAAAATCAAAGAAAATTTTCATAAATGATATATGTAAAACAAAGCTATAGTAGAACATAAAAGCGGAACTACTCATTTAGGTATGTACCAAGAAAAAGATAGCAGCAAAGACCATATTTAGAAAATATCACAAATGCATATTTCAGATATGAATAGCAATCTGAATGGCAAAGGGAAAATTCATTAGGTTTTACCCTAGCCAGCCTCAAGGATTTCATAAGACTAATCAAATAACCTCATTTATAAAAATATAGTTCTAATTTATTAGTACAGTACTTCAATTCTGTCAATTCATCTGTTGTAAGTTTAATCAGAATAAATCTGCTTCTTAGTCTAATCATTCCTTATATGATTAAATTTCAAAGCCTATACAATTGAAGAGCAAGTTCTAGATTCACACTGACCAGAAAGGTATGGTAGTGCCAAGTCAGATGTATGTAAAAAATTATTAAAAGAATAGATTCTCCAATATTACCTTCCTACCCTTCCTTTTCCCTTCCCCTTCCCTTCCCCTTCTCTTCTCCTTCCCTTCCCCTTCCCTTCCCCTTCTCTTCTCCTTCCCTTTCCCTTCCCTTCTCTTTTCTTTCCCTTTCCCTTCTCTTCCCCTTCCCTTCCCCTTCCCTTCCCCTTCCCTTCTCCTTCCCTTCCCCGTTCCCTTTCCCTTCCCTTTCCCTTCCCCCTCCCTTC